GCCAAAATGATTTTAATTGAGAGGGTAAATGATGTCATTTATTTAAAATAATAAGGATAATGATGGAAAAAAAGTTTAGAAACTACTACGCTTAATAACTTCAAAATAAGCTATTATTTTAAGCTACTAGCTTATTTAAAGAACATTATCAACAAAGTTTATAGCTTATTAGAAACTTAAAATAAGCTATAAGCTTCTAAATAAGCTCTGCCAAACAGAGCTTAAGTGTTTGATAAAATGACTTATTACATAATTAGCTTATTGGGACAATAACACAAAATCAGAAAAGCTAAAAAGAATAGAGTTTTTGGTTAGCGAATTGGCCTTATATATGAAATGACCATTTTACCATTGTCATCCCTAACATTATTTATATCTCTCTTGTTATTGTTCATCCTTTTTTTCATTCTATTTCTGTAACAACAATAATAATGTATTTCTTTCTTGTTGATTTCACTTATTCTTGTAAATAATAATAATAATAATAATAATAATAATAATAATAATAATAATAATAATAATAATAATAATAAATATTGTAAAAGCAATTTAAGAGTTAATAAATTAGCACAATATATTTATCAATCTTTTATATGTTATTTAAATACAATCAACTAAAAGTAAATAACTATTTACCAAATACTTTTTTACAACCAGCTAATACTATTAGTTAGTCAAATCAGCTAACCCAATTAGCTATTAGCTAACTTAATCAGCTATCAGTTATTTGTCAAACACTCAAATCTTTTTTATTTTGTATCTTTTTTATACAAGTCATATAATTAGATAGAAATTTCTTTTAGGCCTATTGATATGGTAACCAATCATTGTCCACATTGTAAAATAGATAACGCACAGACATACAAGTTAAATTTTTAATATAATATACTAGAAGTTCATTTTTTTAAGATTCGGTTTTAGTGTACTAAGTTTATTTTTTAATATACTATCTAAATATGAACATATAGTAAATTAGAAAATGAACCTTCAGTATATTACAAATGAACATTTATCAATGATCAACCTTATAATGTAAACTATGATCTAAAATATAATTTATTAAAATTAACTCTTTATACCTTGTACCAGCCTATTAGAGTAAATGGGCAATTTATATCATGGACTAGGTTCACACAGTATTGTGGACCCTGGATCAAAACGATGATGTATAAGTTTTAACAGATTCCGTAACTTTCTGTTTAATTTCTCATGTTTCAACACAAAATTTTAATTTATTCTATGCACAAAATCCTTACGCTTAATGTACAGAAATGCAAAACATGATACACAGAAACGCATAACACAATATACATACACATGTTTTCTATTTTACTTATTCTCAGATCTGATTTGTGTAAATAATTTATGTCATATAGACACATAATTACATAATACATAAGACATGAATTCAAAAAATAAGACATACAATGTGTTCTGTATTATACAACTACTAATCAATTTCATGCACATAATCTATATGCTTAATGTACAAAATGTCGTAACATAATGCACAAAAATGTATAACTCAATGCACAAAAAATGCATAACACGAGATACAGACATATATTTTCTATTTTATTTATTTTCAAATTTAATTTATGTAAATAATTAATGGCATACCGTATAGAGTTTGTCGTGGCTTCAGGAGGTTATGAGGCCTATTGACACGTATATATATAGTAAGGTTTCCCTAAAATAGATATACCAAAACCAGAATTTATGTAAAGAAATATGAATTTCCTCATCTCTTGAACAACTAATCCGCCCACGGCTTCCACCACCGCTACTCAAAGCTAGCGGTGCAATTGCTTGCTTGCTTTACCGCATGAATGAAGCTAAGGAAGCCAACTCTAAACACATTTCTCCATTCTAAACCTGAGAAAGAAACAAATAATACCAACAACGTCATCCCCCATGCCAACCTGCAGGATGCCTTCTACTACCTACGTGTCTGCAGTTGTGATTCATGAGCAGAAACTTATTCATCACGAAAATGAAGAACAAGCATTGAAGATCTCAACAGAAAATCATCCATCATCGAGGGGAAATAGAGGACGAGGCAAAGGTAGAGGTAGAGGAAGAGGAGGAAGGCGAGGTGACCATAATACCTCAACAACCCATAAACCGAGAGACTTGTCAAAGGTTGAGTGTTATCGTTGTCACAAATTTGGCCACTATCAATCAGATTGCCGCACCAATCTGACTAAACCAGACGAAGAAAAAACCAACTTGGTAGAAAAAGAAGAGGAAGTATCTCTTTTGCTAGCGTGTCATGTGAATGAAGAAACTCAACACATGTGGTATTTAGATACCGGATGTAGCAATCACATGTGTGGGGATAAGACGATGTTTTGAGTATCTCCCCTAGGGTTTGAAGGGTGTAGTGGAGCTGAAGTTGTATTCTCTCTCAAAAAAAAGAGATAACTTGAACTAAACATGAGAATATTATATAACCAAGCAAAGATTCGATAATCTTTAGGGCGTTTTGTTCAAGTTATATAAGATAATCAAGGTTATATTTGTTTGGAAATATATAGGCCCTGTTTGGTAAAATGGCTGTTAGCTGATAGCTGTTAGCTGTTAGCTGATTGTGTTAATTAGAGGGTATAAATAGTTGATAACATTAGCTGATTGTAGAAAAGTGTTTGGTAAATTAGCTGTTAGCTGATAGCTGTTTGGTATAATTTCTTTTTTCAAAAAGCTAATTGAAAAAGTTGCTTGGAGTAGCTTTTTGAATTTTAGCCTTTTGGAGTTGCAAAAAGCTAATTAACCAAACATTTTTATTGATATTTTAACTAAATCAAACAATTAATAGTGGTCAAATAGGCCAAAATTGGCCTATAGGCCAATTTTTTTACCAAACAGGGATAATATTCTCATATTTGGTTCAAGTTATGCAATTTTTTCCGAAAATGTAACATAACCTCCACATAAAGTTTTTAGCTATTACATATTTATTACATGGGAATGTGAGATACCCTTCCATTTCGTAGGTATTATCACATTCCCTTGTCTTATTGCAAATTTTGTCATTTTAATTCATTGCCTTAGTTAATTATTGTTCAATCTATTAGTTAATTAATTTTAAATAATTTATTTCTATATTTTACCACTATATTATTTATTTATTTTAATTTTAAAATTTATTAAAATACATAAAAATAGGTTAATGGTATTCAAGTAAAAATAATCATCATAACATAAAAAAAAAATAACTCTTCAACCAAACAGAGATTGCATTTCTTTATTTGGTTTATTTTTTTGAAAATGAACATATTATTTGTTATAATAATAATAATAATAATTGTTGAGTTATCTTTTCTCCTAGAGAGCATATTCGCCAAGGTGGAGATTTGTTGTGTTTGTCTCATATAAGGATTAGGAATATGAGTTTGTTTCATATAAGGAATAGGAGTGAAAGAGAGATTATATGCCTATAAATATAATCAATGTATCTCATCACCTGGTACACCATCACAAATAATAAGAGAATACTTTCACTCCCGTGGATGTAGGCACATTGCCGAACCACGTAAATCTTGTCTTCTTTACTTTTCTGCCATTATTATTTTTCTTGTTCTTGTTAATCTCAACAACAACAACAACAACAACAACAACAACAACAACAATAATAATAATAATAATAATAATAATAATAATAATAATAATAATAATAATAATAATAATAATAATAATAATAATAATAATATGGGGTGATAGTGGCAGTGTGGTGGTAGAGATGGTGGTGGTGGTGGTGGTGGTGTTGGTAGTAGTGGTGTTGGTGGTGATGGAGGTGGTAGTGGTGTGGTAGTAGTAAAAGTGGTGTTGATGGCGGTATACCAGAGTTTTAAACCAAACACAGAAATCTAATATTCTCAATAATCTAATATTCCCAATAATTTAACATTCTCTAAGGCTCCCCTCAAGGTTTTAAAGTATATCTAGACATTTTTAGAGTCTACTCTAATTCAAGAAATCATTTTTGTAGTGGTGAAGTTTGTAAATGTAACATTTTTCATACTACAAATTAAACGACATATACTGTATTCCCCTATCTACAAAAACCACTATATTATACTCCCTCCGTCCCTAAATGATTGTCTCATTTGCTTTTTGCATGATTTTTAATGTAACATTATAAATGTTATTAACTTTCCAATTTTGCCCCCTCAAAAGTAGGTATTATTTGTACAAAGTACAAAGTACAATTGTACTTACCTCTAGAAATTTGAAAAGTCAAAAGGGTAAATTGGAAAATGTAGAGTGATAGATATGTTCAATTTTGGAAAAATAACAATATTTTGGGACAAACTAAAAAGGAAAGTAAGACAGGTAAAATGAGACGGAGGGAGTATTACTTTGTGTTATTATTTTATAGAAGATTGAGAAAAGGGTCAAATACACCCTCCAACTTTAGGTAAGAAGTCAATTAGGCCCTAGAACTTTTTAAAAGTTCAATTAGACACATTAACATATGAATTTAGTGCATTAAGGCCCAAAACCCTAATACTGACCTGCAATAACAAGTTAATAATGCACCGGCGGAACTCCGACAACTTTCCGGTGAAAACATGATCTGCAAGTCGCCGGAACGCCACCCTCAACGACCACTGCCCTTCCTCCCTTTGCAAGATCCAGAAGTTCAGAGTTTAGAATTGAATAGAAACAAGCCATGGCTCTACAAGATCCAGAAGTTTAGAGTTCTAGCGAGATGGCTGCATACGAATTCGGCGCCACCTGTCACCACGATCCTCAAGCCTTTCTGTTTCAGACCTCGAATCGAAGGACCTAAGTCCGACACGGCTCTGGTAGAGAAGCCGGTATGAGTGATCCATCGTCTCTGCTAGCAAGTCGGAGCCGGAGATCGCGTTGTAGCCGCGGCCGCTGACGGAATCGCCGTGGATGTAGGGAGCGGGGCTATACTAGACGATGGAAGGAAGGTGAAGATGACGGTGGCTACAGCAATGCCGATGATGAGAAAAACGTGACGCTGCTCGCGGATATACCGAACTGGGCGAATCACATTCAACCATGGCTTCGGAGGCTTCGGCGTATAACCGTCCATCGCCGGCTGCGCCTCTTGTCCTCTGTAGATCAACTTCGAACTCATAACTTAACAACCAGCGATGTTTGCAAATTCTGGATCTTGCAAAGGGAGGAGGGCGGTACAGTGGTTAAGGGTGCCGTTCCAGCGACCTGCTGGTCATGTGTTTGCCGAAAAGTCGTCGGAGCTCCGCCTGTGTATTATTGACCTGCTATTACAAGTCACTATTAGGTGTTTGGGCCTTGATGCACTAAATTCATATGTTAATGGGTCTAATTGCACCTTCCAAAAGTTCGAGGGCCTAATTGACTTATTACCTAAAGTTGGAGGATGTATTTGACCCTTTTCCCTAGAATATTTCTACTTTTTGAAATCTACTTACTCTATTACATTGTAATATAGAACAAATAAATAAATAATGTCTTTGTGTTATGAATTTATGTGTCTTGTGTTGTGAAATTTTGTGTCTATCAACACAAATTATAAACCTAAATCAAATTTGAAAAAGAAATAAATATATAACATGTGTATTTTTTTTTTTTGAATGCTACTAGCTCTATTACATTGTAGTATCTGTTCATATACTTTCTGAACCTACTGAAACACAAAGAGCTAATAACGCCTCCATTGAGGCTCGAACTCAAAACCTTCCAAATGGAAGTCCAACCCAGATACCATTGGACTACATGTGTATTTGTACCTTACGAAATTCTGTAATTTGTTTTTTATGAAATTATGTACCTTATGGATATAAATTCTGTATTTGGAATTAATAATACTATATGGCCGACTTGAAGAGGCTATTTTGCCGATCACGTACACCATAACCTTTTCCTAGAATAGATATACAAAAATATGAACTTCGATCAATTCTTATCTGATCTCTTCCTTAACAACCCATCCGCCCACGGCTTCCACCACCGCTACTCAAAGCTAGCGGTGCCATTGCTTTCTTGCTTGCTTTAAGTCTTTAACGCATGAATGAAGCTAAGGAAGCCAAGTCTAAACACATTTCTCCATTCTAAATTTAACCTGAGAATGAAAGAGACAAACACCAACGACGTCACCAACCAGGATATATGCATGCCTCCGATCCTTAGCCTCTTCAAAACCAACACTCTCACCCTCCTCGATCAGCTTCTGCATTATATTGAGAGAAATCCATCCACCAACATACACCCTCAGGCCTCAGCTTAAAATTTTCTTTTCCTTTTCCTCTTTGTAAGAAATGGCCGAAAATCAGGTGGCGCAAAACCCAAGCAACAGCAGCAGCTCCAACACCACCCGCCGTTCCCGCTCTATCTACAGCAGTGATCGGGATTTGGAGTCAGCTTCTTCGCTTTCTTGCCGTATCTGCCTTGACAGTGACACCAGAGAAGGCGACCAACTCATATCTCCTTGCCGCTGTAAAGGCTCCCAAGAGTTCGTCCATAGAGAATGCTTGGACCACTGGAGATCTATCAGAGTGAGCGGGCAATATCATTTTTGTTCCTATTTCACAAGGCTGTTGATAAGTATTTGAGCTTCTTGTCTTCACAATCCACTATTTCCTTCTACTACAGCATGGGTACGCATATTTTTCATCCCTAACTTTCTTTATCAAATTATGTAAAACTACTTTCTTTTATGGTAGAGTAAAAGTCTCACTAATATAATTCTCTTGTTGAAAGGTTGTTATTAATTAGCAGCTTTAATTTTCTATCCAACAGTTTATATTAGTCTGATGATGATGTAAATGAAACAGGAGCACTGGTCTTCCTTATTGGCTTGGGATGTTATTGTTTCTTAAAAACTTGCATCTCCCTTGCTAATTTGGACCAACGTATAGCCGGCTGCCAAAACTTTTGCCTGGCCATGTTGATGTGGAATTGCCTTCCTGCTACAATGTTCATCATTCTTAACATATATGTCTTCATTTTTTGTGGTATTGCTTATGGTTTGTTTCTTGCTACAACATTTGTACATAAGAGTTGGCATCGCCACTACCAAATCCTAGAGAAGCGGAATCTTACACAGGTTTAATCCTTCAACTTTAATACGACTGTAAATTTTTTCAAGAAATGACGCATCATATTCCATTTAAATAATATGTTATTTTTATTTCAATTCTTTCTCTTAAATGTTACAGGTGTACGTAGTGGTGGATCAACATGGCCATTATACTCCACCGACACTAGATCCGAGGCATGAACAACACCTTCGATCTCTTAATCTATTATAGATCGAGGGAGATATATATATATATATATATATATATATATATATATATATATATATATATATATATATATATATATATATATTTGATGGATCCAAATACCTTGCACTGCACATAACTTATGTCATTTGTATGCTTTTTTGGGATGTTGCTCACCGTTGTATATATTTTAATATTTCGCCCAATAAAATAAATTATTTCTTCATTGTTTTAACCTTATTTTACAATACAACTATTGAATATACCAACTCAACTCATCATATGGTTTCCTTATTTCTGGATTATAGCAGTGAGTTGTTTTCCTTTGACAACATAATTAACCTCTTAATAATGTGTAGTAAATAGAAAGGTTGTGATCGAGAAAGAAGCAAAATCCAACATCACCAACCACCTAAGATGATGCCTTTTAATGACAACTTAATTGGTCTTCAAAGCCAAACACTCTCAATCTTAGACTCTGCATTTTCCTAATCAGATATAAGTGTCATAATTTTGACATATTAATTAGGAAGATGCTCATTAAGATTGCTAAATTGTGTCTATTGTTGAGAAACCTCAAGGACTAGAAGAAAAACAGTATGCATTCCATTGAAGAAGATGAAGAGAGTTTATGTGTTTACAGGCTGAAAGAAGAGATGAATGTATCAACTTGTCTACAGCTTACACATCATAGGCTATATAGACAAGCCGTTATAACTGCCAAGAGAAAAAAGAAAAGACTAATAAACCCCTAACTTATTAAGCTATGAAAGAAAGCAAAAGCAGAGAAGAGCTGAACTTGGACTGCTGCAAGCTGCAAGTTTGGTGCATTATTTGAGATGTTTGAGAGGATTGAAGATATGACTGAGCTGTGCATTACTTCATCACCCCCCCGTAAGCTGGAGCATGAAGATCTTGAAGGCCCAGCTTATCATGGAACTTGTCAAACAAGGGCTTAGGCAAGGCTTTTGTGAAGCCATCTGCAGTCTGATTCTGGGAAGAAACAACAAGAAGTTTGACAACCCCTTCATTGATCTTTTGTCTAACCACATGACAATCAATCTCAATGTGTTTAGTGCGTTCATGGAAGACAAAATTCTCACCAATAGCAATGGCAGAGTTGTTATCACAATACAAAGTTACTGGAGTAGAGAATGTTGCCTTCAAATCTGCTAACAGAAATAACAACCACTGTACCTCACAAGTTGTGGATGCTAGGGCTCTGTACTCTGCCTCAGAAGATGATCTAGAGATTGTAGCTTGCTTCTTGGTTTTCCATGAAATCAAAGAATTGCCAAGAAAAATACAATATCCTGTCACAGATTTCCTACTATCCACACAAGTTGCCCAGTCTGAGTCTGAAAATCCTTGCAATTTCATAAGAGAATTAGAAGGGTAGAACAAGCCTTTTCCAGGTGCTCCTTTTAGGTACCTTAACACCCTATGAGCTGCTACCATATGAGTGTCTCTTGGCTTCTCCACAAATTGACTTAGCTGCTGGACTGCATAAGAGATGTCAGGTCTAGTATTGGTTAGGTACAAGAGTTTCCCAACTAACCTTCTGAAAACTTCAGGTTGTGTGATGGGAATCCCATCAGTGTTGTTCAGTTTCTGTCCTGTGACAGCAGGAGTCTTAGCTGGCTTGGCTTCCAAAAAACCATGTTCTTTTAGGATCTCCAAAGCATATTTCCTTTGGCAAATGTTAATTCCAGCATCAGTTCTAAAGGCTTCAATGCCTAAGAAATAATTCAAGTTGCCCAAGTCTTTGATCTTGAAATCTCTATCCAGTGACTGCTTCAAATCATTCATTTGAACAGAATTATTTCCTGCCAAAAGGATATCATCAACATACACCAACAAGGCAATGAAAGATGTTCCTGTTTGTCTAGTAAACAAAGAGGGATCTGCAGAAGATTGTTGGAAGCCATACACTTGTAAAGCTTTAGTCAACTTGGCATTCCATTGCCTACTTGCCTGTTTAAGGCCATACAGGGATCTCATGAGCTTGCAAACCTGATTTGGCTTCCCATTCTTAAAACCAGGGGGTAATACCATGTAGACTTCCTCCTCTAAGTCACCATGTAAAAAAGCATTGTTGATGTCAAGTTGCTGAATGTTCCATCCCTTAATAGCAGCCACAGCCAAGAAGGTTTTGATTGTGGTCATCCTAGCCACAGGTGAGAAAGTCTCAATGTAATCAACACCTAATTGTTGAGTATAACCCTTTGCAACCAGCCTGGCCTTATACCTCTCTATAGAGCCATCTGCTCTATGCTTCACTTTATACACCCATCTACAACCAATGGGGGTTTTACCAGCTGGCAATTCTGTTAAGATCCAAGTTTTGTTCTGGTTTAAAGCATTTATCTCAGCTTCCATGGCTTGTCTCCATTCCAAATGCAACACTACTTCTTGATAAGATTGTGGTTCCTCAGAGGAAGAAATAGCAGCTGCACACATTCTATGATCAGGAGATAAGTTTTGGTAAGAGATGAACTTCTCTAGAGAATGGGGAGAAGTTCTGGCAATGGTGATGTTGGATGTGGTAGTCTGACAAATATAGTCTTGTAACTTTGAGGGAACATTTCTTGTTCTTAAAGATCTCCTAGGCTGCTGTTGATCAGCCTGATTGTCAGTGTCTCTGAAATCATTCTCAGAGCAAGAGTGTGTGTCATAAGCATGACTAGGACCAATGGAATAGTCTCTGATCTGTGAGAGTTCCACATGAATGTCTGGTGTTTGCTGATTCTCTTCCACATGAATGTCTGGTGTTTGCTGATTCTCTAGCTGGACTTCTGCAGATTGGTCATTCAACAAAGTATCCCTGACCATTCCACTCTCATTATGTTTTCCAGCCTGGTCCAATGTACCAAAGTTTGCTTCAATATATGTTGGGACCAAAGGGAGAGAAGGTCCAAGGCTTTCTGGTGTAGCATTGCTAGAACCAGTCCCTGAGTATCCTTCTTTGAAGGGAAAAATATGCTCATGAAAAGTCACATTTCTGGAAATAAAAACAGCTCTGTCAGTCATATCAAACACCATATACCCTTTTATATTAGCAGGAAATCCCAAGAAAATGCATTTCTTGGCTCTTGTTTGCATCTTGTTCCTCCCTTGTGAAATAGTAGCTGCAAAGCATAGGCATCCAAAAGATCTCAAGTGATTGTAATCAACATCTTTTCTATATAACATTTGGAAGGGAGACTGGCCATCCAGAACCTCAGTGGGTAACCTGTTTATTAGATAAGATGCATGCAAAACACAATGACCCCAAAAGCTGTCAACAAGTCCAGATTGAAACTTCAAGGCCCTAGCTATATTCAAAATATGTTGATGCTTCCTTTCCACTACCCCATTCTGCTGGGGAGTATGTACACATGACCTTTGATGGACAATCCCTTTTTCATTATAGAAAGCTTGCATCATAAACTCACTCCCATTATCAGTTCTGACAGTCTTAATTTTGGCATCAAAGTGAGTGAAGACATAATTATAGAAGTTATGAAATGTGGATCTGACCTCTGACTTATGTTTCATTAAGTGTAGCCAAGTGTATCTGCTATAATCATCAACAATTGTTAAGAAATAATGTTCTCCATTAAGAGAAGCCACAGAAAATGGTCCCCAAATATCCATATGGATTAGATCAAAACATTTCTCAGATTTATTATTGCTAAGAGAAAAAGGAGCTTTCTTATGTTTGGCAAAATAACATGTGTCACAAGCTGATCCAGAGGCAGTACATGGTGAGATTTTCACCCCTTTCAACATTTGCATCTTATTCATTGGGTAATGACCCAGCCTATTGTGCCATATCTCAGCAGAAAGACTACTACAAGTCATTACATTGGAGTCATTAGCAGACTGAACAGAATGGACCTTCTTCCTGATAGGAGGGTTGGAGAGCAGATATAATCCTCCCTTTTCTTTAGCAAAACCATCCACCCTCCCAAGATGGCCCTGAACATCACAGCAATCAACCCTTATAATAATTTCATATCCTGATTCTCTTACCAGCTTGCTAGCAGAAACAATATTAAAGGAAAAAGATGGAATAAACAACACATTTTTCAACATCATATCCATGTGAAGTTTAATATTCCCAATGTGAGTAACATCAACTGTTTCCCCATTGGGCAGCCTTACTGATACTCCATGAACAGCATAATGAGATTCAAAGTAGTCCAAAGAACTAGTGATATGATCAGTTGCACCAGAATCTAAAATCCAAACATCAAGAGAATTTAACACAGTATTGATATGAGGATTAAAGATGAACTTGCCTTCATTATGTTTCTCTGCAACCTTCCTGGAATCTGAATTGATTCCAGTGTTAGATAATGTCACAACATTATTAGATGAATGACCCCCTTGGCTTTGGCTCTACAACAGACTCACAAGCCTTTGAAACTGCTCAGCAGTAAGGCCTACATCTCCAACTTGGTTCACAGAAGCAGGCTGAGTCTCTTGAGCTTGTTTATCCTTAGACTTATAACCTGGAATCCACCCTGGTGGGAAACCATGCTTCTTGTAACATTTTTCAATCGTGTGCCCTAATTTCCCACAGAACACACACTTAGGAACATTCTTTCCAGAATTATTGCTGAACTTTTTTTTGTTAAAGGAAGTTGCAACAGCCACAGTGGACTGGTCATCTGAATTCTGTACTGTTATGTTCTGCACAGAATTAGATTGAATCAAATCGGGATTCTTCATGATGCCAGAGTTTCTAAGCTTCCTTTCCATCTTGAGGGCCATGTTAAGGACCTTCTCCATAGCAGGGATGGGATCCATAACCAAAATTCCGGACTTAATGTTCTCATCGATCTACTCCACGTTGCGTAATTAACTTCTGACAAAGGAGGAGAAACGAGCACGAGGTTAGGATTCTCCGTCACATGCAAGTACATAGGATCGTGAAGCTCATCCACGAGCTGAACAGGGCTGGAGTTCATCGGAATGCGATCGGATGACGTAGCTTGCTCGCCACCATTTTCATCACCGGTTTCAGTCTCCGCCGTGACTGCCGCGGCGTAGCTCCGGTAACGCTCTGATACCATGTTGAGAAACCTCAAGGACTAGAAGAAAAACAGTATGCATTCCATTGAAGAAGATGAAGAGAGTTTATGTGTTTACAGGCTGAAAGAAGAGATGAATGTATCAACTTGTCTACAGCTTACACATCATAGGCTATATAGACAAGCCGTTATAACTGCCAAGAGAAAAAAGAAAAGACTAATAAACCCCTGACTTATTAAGCTAAGAAAGAAAGCAAAAGCAGAGAAGAGCTGAACTTGGACTGCTGCAAGCTGCAAGTTTGGTGCATTATTTGAGATGTTTGAGAGGATTGAAGATATGACTGAGCTGTGCATTACTTCATCATCTATTATATTCAAAAATTAATTTTAAATGTTTTATTATATGAAATAATATAACAATGAGCTAGCATGCATGGCTATTCTAGCTATAAACTAGATTGCAATCCCGGCGTTGCGCCTACATTCTTATTTTCAATTAATAGTATTGTTTTGTTTATTGATAATCATTTTATTGTTTTTACTTAACAATTTTTTTTATATTTTATTATCATAACGAAGTAGCTTGTAGTTGGTGGTGGTGGTGTTGAAAGTTTTTATTATTATTTTTGAGAAAACAAATTATACCCTTAAAAGGTCATTTTGCATGTAATCAACTAACAACTAATTTACCAAGTATCTTTTAACAACTAGCTAATATTATAAGCAGTCAAACCCACTAACCCAATTCGCTAACAACTATTTGCCAAACACCTCCTTTCTATCGTTTTTCAAACTTTTCAAAATAGCTCTAGGTGAGCTTGAATTTTGAAATAAGAGTTTTATAACAAACTAAACAAAGCTTGGAAACAAGTGTTGGTCCCGATACCAAAGGGCGAGAGTCTAGAGGAGGGGGGGGGGGGTGGATAGACTCTACGCGAAAATAAAACTTAACTCGAAAGTGTAGTGCACAGCGGAAAATAGTTTATCCTTTTTAAAGTTTCTTTGCACACGTTAATATTGAAAGTGTTTTCTTAGGGTTGATATAGATGCAATGCAATGCAGTTAAGTAAAGATAAATGACGAGAGCAAGAGAGAGATTTTTATAGTGGTTCGGCTATTAACGAAGCCTACTCCACTCTTCTTTCACAACTCGTGAAAGGGTTTGCACTATCACTCCTAGTACAAACTAAGCCAAGCTTGCTTCCTTGATCACTAAGCCGAATAACAACTTGCTAGGTTTTTCAACTCCTCCGAGTTTACTCTGCCTTTATCAACTTCTACAGAGTTCAGTGTTGGAAAAGGTTGATGGTATCTCCAACTTGAAATCTTGTCTTGACAATTTTTGGTCTTCGTATAAACTGTGCAAGATTTCTTGATGTTGTGAAGACTTTGAAAGCTATATGATCGATCTTTAAAAGAGTCTTCACAAACACACACTGGTTTTGAAAATAGCTTGTAGCTTGAGAGAGTTAAAAATCTTTTTGATAGCTATAGAGTGATAAAAATCAGCACATTCTTCAAGTGATGAAGAGGGGTATTTATAGGTGTGAGAAATCCATCCATTGAAGGAAGATGAGAATTCAAAACCTATTAACCAGTGTGTATTGTCCGCTGGGTAAGGAGACTTAATTGCGGTTGTACTGTATAGCCGTTGGCTTCAAAAAGTAACCAACCTTTTTGTCCTGTAGTGCAGACAAAACGTACCAATCATTAAATGCTCCTTGAAATTTGAAATCTCATTCTAGGACACCATTTTTTCTAGGATGATTTTCCCAACTTTGAGACTTGGACATTTATGCTTCTGAAAAACAAATAAGACTTGTCCAATCGAGTCAGACTTTGACTCGTAGTCTCGAGTTCTGGTAACAAAAGATTGTCCTTATCATTCTTTATCTTCACAATTCAAATGATCTTTCTTTATCATTTGTCAATTACACAAGAGATAGAACGTTTTAGGTTTCGGTCTTAGCGGATCTCTCGACCTTCTCTTGATCTTCTCTTCTCTTCAACTTGTCTGACTGACTAAGAAAGATTCTAATTCGTGTAGATGTATAATTGAGCACGAATCAAACTCTAAGCAAAAACAACTTTCGTTCTACACAAAGGATACTAAACAACTAGAGTAAAAAGAGGGGTCCAAATTCTTAGTTAGTTTTGGTATCATCAAAATCTAATTACACATGTTCCTAAAAATTTCTCCCTTTTTGATGATGCAAAAACCTACACTCTCGCTATTAGGCTGAAATTATCCATGAAAGGATTTTCATTACAAAACAGCCAAATAGTTGAGTTTAGAAGAAAAGTCTAAGTAAATAAAATAACATAAGAACTCAACACAACCCACAAAAAAGATAGATTTCATTCATATTAGATTCATATTACAAAAAGACATCTATCTATTACCATATTTTGAAGTTCTTCTCTCTGTCGAGCTTCTTTTCTTCGGGTTTCTTCTTCTTGAGCTATCTGAGCTTTGAGCAATTCAGATCAATTTCATCATTGATGATCTTCATGAAATCTCGTGGTAATTCGCATACTGCTCTTATAAGTTATAACTCATATAGTTGTTGTATGCTTCGAGAATGTCTCGTCTAGGGATAATTCCATTTGTTCCATCCAACAAAAACTAATTAAATGGCATCATTCCTTCAACATAGCTTTTGCTTAATTTTTCAGGGATCATGAACACAACATTGTGCTTGGCAGCTAGATTAGCATCTTTACCAATGGCTTTCAGTTCTTTATCTTCTTCTGTACTTCTTGTGAAGTAAATAAGATCTTGTTTCTTCTTCTTCTTAATCTTCTTCATCAACAAGACACTGCCTTTCATTCTCTTCCCTTATTTCTTTACTCATGGTTCTTTTGATAATCTTGTCTAGTATGATTGTCTCTTCTCTTTAACCATGTAGGCATGCTACAACATTTGTTGATGGTTTTGAAATTCAAATGAATTTAGCCTCTTCTGTCATTCCCAACTAGCTTCATTCGAATTGTTTGCCATCAAGCATTCCAAATTCCTTTGTTGTACTCCAATCTACAACATACATATTCTTCTTTTCTTAATCCGGCAAGTACGACTTCATTCGTAGATTCATCTTTGACTTGACATCATTTGCCTTTGTAAAATTCTACAAGATATCCTTTGTCGCAAAATTGACTTGTACTGAACAAGTTGAACTTTAATCCTTCGACATAAGATACGTCTTCAATTCGTAGACCATTTTTCACAATTGTACCCGTTCCTTTTGTCATTCCATATCGATCATTTCCTCCGAAAACTACTTTTGGTCCTTCGATACTTTTGAACTCAACTAGACTAGCTTTATTGCCGGTCATATGTCGAGAGCATCCGCTATCGAAATATCAAATTTCCTGCAAAAAAAAAATTAATTGTTTTTAGGTACCCAGACTTGTTTGGGTTCTTTTGTGTTAGTAATTTTTGGCATCCAAATCCACCTAGATCCCACTGATCCAAGAGTAGGTGATTTGTAACCATTAAAGACTCTATAATCATAATGCACTTGCGAATAATGCTTTGGTGCGGGTTGGGAATCAGATAGTTGCTTGATCCTATGAAAAAGAGCAAATCTGGACTTGGTCCATGGTTTGTCTTCAAGCGACCAATCTTGTTCTGAGGGATATAATCTCACTGCCCCAATTCTCAGAATTCTTCCCATAATTCCTATGAGGTTTTATTGCATAGACTCGTTGGCTCTCCTTTGAGATACAAATTTTTGCCTTTTTAAATTTTGTTGCCTTTCCGAGATATTAATTTTTGGATTCGGCTTTGCAACATTTTTTTTGGGCATTGATTCGATTTCCAACTCCTTGTCTCATTGTGCTATGCTGACTTTTCACAAATTTTACCGCTGGAACTTTATTAATTAAATTAGTAGTGGAATTAGTCAGCTTCACAGGGGTTTGAGAACATGATGGATTATAGCCCAATCCGGCCTTATCTCCAGCGGTTTTTGCATACTTAGCATCTTATCCATTATTTTGGATGAATGCATAAATGATGCGATTACTTCCCGAAGGTTATGTTCTCGAAGCTCTCTAGCTTTGCACTCTTCTTGAAGTCGAATAATTTCGGCTTTCTAGTTCCTCAATTCAAGTAAAGCATTTTGCAATTTTTGTGCCATTTCTTCCTTTTCAAGGATTAGCAAATTATTGCGCTCTTTGACTTGAGTATGAGTGGCCATGACTTCTTGACAATCTTTCATGAGACTTTGAAATGATCCTTGAGTCTGGAAAGAGGTGTCAACAGAACTAAAGGAACCAAAGGAACTAGAAGATACCTCTTCGTCGGTTTCACGCCATAAAGCATTCCTCATGTTCGGATGTCTTGCTTACTAAGCATAGTAGCGCTGTATCTTCTTGTGATGAATCACTCTCGTCACTAGATGATTCTTCGGATTCACTTGCTTCTAGTGGATCGCTTATTAGTGCATTCCGCTTGTCTTTTTTGAATTTCTTCTCTTTCGATTTGTATTCAACCTGCAGAGAGTTAGAAGTATTCTAATTTTTTGTTCGCCTTTGGGTGTGGACATTCGGCCATAAAGTGTCAAGGCTTCATACAATTGTAACACACATTTGTGTTTTCTTCGGCAGATTTTCTTCTTGATATTCTATTCTCTCGAAACGAATTTCCTTGTGGCGATCCTTTGTTCTTTTGCATGAACTTCTTGAATTTCCTAACAAATAAGGAAAATTGTTCGTCAGATAAAAAATCATTATTTCTACTGACCTTGATGTGGATAGTTGTTCGGCCATCAGTGCGGATGTTCGTTCATCGCGTTCTTCTTCGACTCGTGTCTTCATTTCGAAACTCATACGCCTTAAGATCACTAAAGAGTTTATCCGTAGATAATGTCCTTAGATCTCTGTGATCACGCATTGCAGTCACCTTCATATCCCAACTTGTAGGTAGTTCGCGTAACACTTTGAGCGATATTTCCTTCTGGGTAATGGTCTTTCCCAGATCCGTGATTTCTCCAAGGATTTTGATCAATCGAGCTTCCATGTCAGTGATGCTTTCGTTTGGTAGCATTTTGAAATCTTCGAACCTCTTCATGGCAATGGTTAGTTTGTTGTCTTTTCTTGTTCGTCGCCTTCACCGATACTAATGAGAGTATCCCATATTTCTTTTTGCTGTGGTGCACTTTCGAATCTTTGGGAATATGGTGTCATCTACGGCCTTGAACATAATATCTTTGGCAATGTTGTCCAAATAAACTTCTCCCGAAAGGGTGGCGAGAAGTCTAGAGGAGGGTGAATAGACTTCTCTAACATTTTCACTTCTTTTACAAAACACACAAGGCAAATAACACTTTGGTAATTTCAACTCTAAATAACAAGCATCAACAAGTTAAACAACTTAGAGTATGCAGCGGAATAGATAGAGGTAAAGTGTTATGCTTAATAGTGCGGTGCTCAAAGAGAGATTCTAAACATGCAACATGTTAGAAACACTTGATATGACTCAAAGATGATGTAAATAAATTTGGCTTGCATGCGAACGTGGGAACTATTAAACCCAGACAGATAAAGATATGCGATAAAACGTAACGGGTTAGTTCGCAGTTAGAATAAGCATGCACAAAATAAATGAGCAGTAAGTAAAGAGAGAGAGAGATTTATAGTGGTTCGGAGATGGTGTAATTCTCCTACTCCACTCTTCTCCATTCACTTCAAGGAGGAAATTCACGATTCTTTGATCACCCAGATACAATAGTGAATACGTGTCCACCGACATTCTCCAAGTGCTTCACACAAAGCTACACTCCTCCAAGGTTTTTCGCAAGCTCCTCTTGTTACTCCGTCTTCCCGAGTACTTCGCACCAAGCTGTACTCCTACACCACGAGAACTACGCACAAAGCTACGCTCTCACAGGGTTTTCACAAGCTCCCGTTGTTACTCTGCCCTTTACAACGAGTGGTACGCACAAAGCTACACTCAACTAGGATTTTTCAGTCTCTCTAGTTACTCCGCCCTCTTTCTACACTCAGTAGAGAAGTTTTCAAAGAAATAAAATATTTCTCTCACTCAGACTTGAATTCTATCATATATAGCTCAATATATCGCTTCTTGGTTGATTTGAATATTGCTTGCTTTTTCTTGCTTGTATATCTTAAACGATCAGTCGTACTTGTCTTCAAGTCTGCTTGGACAATTTATAGCCAATGAAAGCTATTTGCCCGTTGATCAACTTTCGATCTCGATCGTCCATCTTCGTATGTAGTTGATCAAAAATAAAGTTGTCAACTTGATCTGAAATGT